TAGTTTGTTTTTTTCTAATTGGCAAAATTAATTTGAGACAAAATAAAATTTTTTTTTTTAGTTTAATAATGTTTTTGGAGTATGAATTGCTACCCGTGTTGTCGTGTCGATTTTGACAACAAAATATAACGAAGAAAAAACATTAAAATTGTAAAAAAAAACGATACAAGAACGCATAACCTAGATAAAAAAGATAATAAAAACGAAATAAAAGAAAAACAAAAAAAAATTACATATTTTCCTTTTAACAAAAATTGAAGTAGCGGCGGGAGTTTATCACTTTCGCGATGTTCATCATACGCGATAACGTTAAATAAAAAAGAAAACAAAAAAAAAACGTTACATGAATAATTTCGAAAATTATCTATTCTTATCGTAATAAAGTTTAGATGACATTATGATGACAATGTTATCAAAAAAAAAAAAGAAAAAAGAAAAAAAAAAGAATAAAATTAGCGAAACAAAATTAAAAATTTTTAAAATTAAAAAAAAATTTTAAATTCTGATTAGACCTACCCCGATTTTAGATTTTGTTTTTAGATTTTGTTGTTACTGATTTAATTTTTTAATTTTGAAAGTGCGTTACACTTAAAGAATTGTACATATGAAGTAAGAGAATAATATTATTTATATCATTTCTTCGCGCCCATGGTTTTGAACCAAATATTAATCAAAGAAAGCTTAGATATTAGATAGAAGTACAAATATTTTCGACGTAAATTTCATTCTAATGCTGTAACACTTCCCATACTAGGCACGCATTAAGTTTCCATGACTTCAATAATGTTTTATAAAAAGTTCAAGTACTGTATTAATACGATTGTACTACCGTCTAAGAAATTTCAATATGCCTTTACATTGTAAAAAAAAAAAAACTTCTAAAGTTTTTAGTGCATTTTGGAATACAATTTTTACAACATTATTACGTACTTTGACATTTGTTTGAAAATTTCAATTTAAAGTTCTGTGCAAATGTTTATTTTCAACAAGCGTTATCACATCATTTAAAGCATAGCATTTTTATGCTGCATTTTAGGAAAAAAACTTAATAACCAGCACGTTACTGCTGAAAATATATGCTAGTTTATTTAATTGGTTATTTCTGGTAACATTTATATGACATGTATAAGAAAAGCTTGCTCGATTTTTTCGATACCCTTTTTACTTTCATTTTACGTCTCCACTACGTAAAAAACGCATTTAGAAAAAGTGTACATTTTCAAGAGCTTTTACTAAACTTTTTGGAACTTGATACTTTGTAAATATTTCTGTGATTTGGTTCAGATTTTTTATTTCATTTATTGAATTATTTACATTTCTGTTTGGGTATAATACTTGCCAACGTAGCCATTTAATTAAGTATACTTATAACCGATATATTTTGTTTCATTGAAATTAGAGTTTTTGTTGAATGCACTCATATAAATTTTGATTTTGCGTCGGCTTACCATGTAATATTTTTTAAAATATTTAATTTTAAAAATAATACGAGTAGTAATAATTTTACATGAGTATTTTACAGTTTTACAATTAACATGAATTTATGGGAGAGCTCATTAGCGATTCTTTGAAACTTTTACAGTTATGCATAACCAATAAATTAAATAGATTTTTGCCGGCGGAATTCTTGTTTTTTTTTTTCAATCGGAATTTAATAGAATTTATTAAATAAACTATTTATTACACGGTCCTCTATATAACTTCATAAATTCATAATTTTTAATTAATGTTTAATTTCAATTTAATTTGAAAAATGGGATTTCACAATTATTTGCATATTCATACAAAGCGTAGTGCTTATAAAACAAAACGAATAACAATTTGAAGCAAATTTCAATTTTTCTTTATTGGAAATTCTGTGTGAATTCCGAATGACGGTATATTGTAAAGTATAATTCTTACAAAAATATAATAGGAATTAATTTAATAAAAATTAAATTAAATAAAAATTAAATTAATTTTTTATTTACCTATTGAGCATTTAAATTAGCATTTTTGCTTATGAATTTTCTCATAATCTTAGCTCTTGAAAGGAATTTTAGTAAAATTGTCAATAAATTTTTTCATAAAATATGCCCTAATTTTCGTTAATATGCTTTCAATTTTGAGTAACACAATTTTCTAATAAAACTGAACGCGATAAAGAGCCTTACAAAATATCTTGTTTACCGGATTAATTTAGAGTTGCTTTAACATCTTAATTCAGATACGTTTGCATATTTAAAATTTGCATATTTTGCAGTGAATTGGATGGCGAAAAGTATTGCGGTACTATTTCATAAACAATATCATTTCTGTTATTTTCGAACGACTGATTATATAGAAGTTTCAGAATTTGTATACTGCGTAAACTAAGAAAACTTAGCTGAAATTTTTGCATATTGTTTAACGCCGCGGCTTAGAAATTTTAGTTCTAATGTAGAACTTTCAGCGCAGCGTGCATAAACGAAAACTCCCATAGTCTGATACGATTTTAGAATGTGGCCTCTTTTCTATAGTAAAAATTTATCGAACATGGTATATTTGAATATTTTTTTAGTTTTGATCTATGAAACGCTCATTATAATTAATATTTAGGTTGTAAGTTAGAAAAGAATTTTCGAAAATCTCGTTTGGATTCTACTTTATTACTTAGTTAATTGTACTTTAATTTAACGTAAATACCGTTATCTATATTAATAATTTAATTCTACTTAATATTTCAAAATTAACATTAAATGTTTTTTTTTTGCTGAACTAGTTAATGGAATTCTTAAAAGTGCATGGTTCTTATATTTCTGCATTGTTATTATGAATGAAAAAACTTTTTAAGAACAACTATAGCTCGTAATAAATGAGCTCTCACATATAATTATTTATTGAATTCATTTAAAATTAATTAATTTGTTTATGTAAATTTTAATGCGTACTTCCACACATATGTATGTCTGCACTTACATGTAGGTATATTCAAGTTGACATATGTATAGGTATTTAGACAGATTATGCTTTCGGCACCTTTTCTAACTAATTTCAATATAATTACAATATTAATGTCCGCCTGTTTTAATAAAAATATTAATTATAAAAAAAAAAAAATTTAATTAATTTAAATTAATAATAAGAAGAAAATATTTCAATAATTTTTCTAAGTGTAATCGAATTTGTTATTTGAATTTTTATGTTTTCCTTTTTTTTTCGTTTGTAGACAAAATCGCGTATACTACCCCGCAAGAAATCACAAATTGATTTGAAAATTGTATAAGAATTATAGATGTTTGATGATCTTGATTATATTTTTTTTTTTCTTATTGATTAATATTTTTTTTTTAACTATTCATATCTAATAAGTTTGTTTTTCTTTTTTTTATTATATTTGTAAATAGAAATGTATATGTACTGACGTATGTATGTATATAAAGTACCGAGATATGTATAGGTAATCATTTATAAAAATTATAATTGTTTTATTATCAATTTTGATTTTTAGAACCTGTCAAGATTATTAATTTTTATCACTGCATATATGTACTTAATTATATATGTATATATTCATACAATTGATAGAAATACATGGTTTTGTATTCATGTATATATATATATATATATGTGTGTATATAGAGTACATATTAAATAATAATCAATCGATTAATTAAATGAAAAGTAATCAATTTTTTTTTTTTGTATTGTACTCATTCTGATTTTTTGGTTTTTCTTTTACTTTAAACTTATTAAATCAAAAATTAATAAAGAGAATAATTAAGTTAAGTTAAAAAAAGAAAAATAAGAAAAAGAAGAAAAAAAAATTTAACTACTTTTTTTTTAATAGTTAACAAAAGTTCGCAGATTTTTTTTTATAAGCACATTTTAATTTTATTATTTGTACTTACTGGAGACAAAATTTTAGACAATATTTGGTTTCAAAGTTTAACAAAAATTTTAATTTTTCTTCTCTTAAAAAATTCATTAAAAATAATTTCTGTTTTTGTATTATTTTTTTTAGATTATGCACAAACATATATACTAGTTATATAAATATCAACAAATGAATTAAACAATAACAAAAAAAATTAAAAGAAAATGAAAAATAATAAAAATTTTTATTTTATAGTTTTCCTTTTGCCATAATCATGTGTGATTTATAAAATTTAATGAAAAAAAAAAAAAAAATATAATCAATAGAAATTTTGTGACATACAAGTTTTGCAACGTTGCAACGTTTTTATGAAAATGAAAAAATTATAAAAAAAAAATTTGAAAATAATTAAAAAAAAAAAAATAATTTAAATAATTAATAATAAATTGTGGACATAATTGTATATGATATAATTTATTATTATCTGTGATAACATCTATATATATATATATAAATATAATTAATTTAAAAAAAATGATAATTATAAAAAATAACAAGTAAATATTAACTTAAGTCTTAATATATCTGAATATAAATCATAAATAATTAAAAAACTAAAAATATAATGATTAAAAATAATAAAAAAAAATTAAAAAAATTAAAAATTACTTTTTAATTGAATTGATTTTTATTAGGAATTTTTTCTAAAATCAATTATTTTTCTTCTTTGATTTTTTTCTCCTAAAGTTGTAAATTCCTAAATGAGTTTTATTAAAAAATTTTTTCTTATTTTGGAAAATATTTCAAAAAATTTTTGTGTGCAACCATTTATAATTAACTAGAAAAATAATTAAAAAAAAATAAAAAATATATTTATATAAATTTTACCATTCAAAATGCCAACAATTAAAATTTTAACTTTAAACTGTAAAAATAGTGGTTTTTAATAATTTTATATTTAGAAAATAAAAAAAAAAATTAAAATAAATAAAAAAAATTTTTAACAATTTTCATTTCAAATAAAAATTATAAAAAAAAAAAATAAATTAAAAACTAAAAAAACAAACTTAAAAACGTATAAAGAAAAAAACAAATTTTCATAATTTTAGTGTTGAAATTTTATCGAAAAAAAAAAAAAATTAATTAAAAAAAAAAAGCGAAAAAAAAATCCTTAATTTTTTATTTTAGTTTTTAATTAAGAAAACAAACACAAAAAAAAAAAAAAAACAAAAACCCTATTATAGTTACAAAAGAAATTTTTGTTTTTTCTTAGAAAATATAAAAAAAAAAAATTAACAAAATTAATTTTAATATTATGGATATGACGGCGACAGCAGAATCAGCTCGAAGTTGGTATGAAAATCCTAGATTAGGTAGTTCACCAGGTAGTACTGGTTTATCATCAGCTGGTAGTGGTCATCAAAGTTTATCAAGTGGTTCAGCTGGTGGTTTAGATACAGATATGAGTCCATTTTATGCATTAGAAACATCAAGTCATCATAGACGTTATTATTCAGCTAGTTATCATCCGACACATGGTAAGTGTATTTTTAATTTTTATCAAAATATAATTTTAATTTTTTTTTTTTTATATAAGTATTTATTAAGTTTTTGTTGTCAATTTTAATTAAATTAAATATATTATGATTTTTAAATCCAAATTTAATTAGAAGTACAAATTTTTGCATTAAAAATATTGAATATTGTTAAACATTAGTCAACTAAACATAATTCTATATATGGGAATTTTACGAGGGTCACTATTTATATTTCGGGTCCTGGCAATACTAGTGCTGCCAGGTGCAATCAGACACTTCCATTGGAAAGTTTGACATTTTTTAGGACAACTTCACTCAGAACGTTTTGTCATTCGAGCGCGAATTGTTTTGTTTACAGTGACTTGAAAAATTCATCTCGGTCAAAAAATGGAATTGTCCCGTGAAAATTTTCGTGCGATGATTTTTTACGATTTTCGGCGCGGATTATCGAGACAAGAGTGTCTCGATCAACTTGTTTCGACTTTTGGTGATGAAGCACCATCAAAAACCACTGTAAATCGCTGGTACCAAGAGTTTGGTTTCGGACGCCGTTCGCTCCAGGATGAATTTCGTGAAGGTCGGCCAATTTCGGTCGTTTTGTGTAAACCTATTCATATGTTGTTCAAATATTTCTCTGTCTGTAATGTATAAAGTATAATTCAAATTAATTTATATGTATATTCGAAAAATTACCTTTTTTGTTGAATAAAATAATTTATGTTTTATTAAAATTTTCAAGGATACAATACCTGTTATAAGTATATTTGTATATATATTCGATGAAATATGCTTATACAATTGCATCATTAATATTGACGAACTCCAAAATCTGGTTAGATGATTTTTATGAAGAATTCTTGTTTGTTAAATAAAAAATCTTCTTAGGCATTCAAATTTTATATACACGTACATATGCAATTCGAACTATAAAAAGTTTTAATATATAAAGTTTTAATTAAAGTTTTGCATTCTTCACAAAAAAAAAAAATTATTTATTTTAAGGTTCGATGTTTTGGCAGAAATATTCTAAAACTATACTAGCATAACCTATAAAATATATTTAAATTATTCCAAACTAATCGAACGTTCCTAACAAAAATTTTTAATTATTTGTCGATGAAAGTTTTGATTCATTATCAAATTAATGATTTTGTTTTGAAAACCATATAAGAAATTAAAATTTTCGATGCTATTCGGGAAACTATCGTGTCTTCAAAGTATGGTTTACAATACTAGTTTTATTAAAGCTGTTGCATCTATTAAACTAAATTTACAAAATTTTCAGATTCGGAATTTTTTGATTTAAGTACATTGTTACCTAATTTATATAAGCCCAATAATTATTAAATTAGAACATATTTTCGATCGAAACTAAGATATCGAACACTTATAATACCAATCAACTAAATACAAGATTTAAAATATTTTCATTCGATTCTTGATTTGAATACCAAATTCAAAACTAAGTATGTAATATTGGTAGAAAGAAGTATAAAACCGTTTCCTTAAATAATTTGCTAAAATTCTACCGGCTCAATAATATTCGCTTTGTAGATTTTATGCATAGTGCAGGGATCCTTAAAATATTCTGTTTGAAAACAGTATTTTTTTCCATAAAATTTTCCATAAATGGTACATTACTTGTGCATACACCACACTTTATTGCTGTTAACTCTATAATAGTCCTGTATAATCTTTAAAAGTATAAATATAATATGCAATCATATAGTATATATATGAATTGTAGACTTGCTTCTTATACGCAATTTAAAATCAAGCAAAGTATCGTGCGTCCGCTGTATATTATACTAAAGGTGCAATTAAATTAAAAGCTTACTGAATTAATTAGATATTTCAAAAATATTTTTTAAATTATGTAATTTATTAATGTGCCTACATGTTTTTTTTGTTTTTTTTTATTTCATATACTTATGTGGTACATTTGTAAAATATATTCAATAGTTCCGAAATGGAAAATTTTAATATTCAATTTAATAAAAGAAGGTAATGAATAAATAAAAGACAAAAAAAAAATGGAGAATATTAAATAAGAAATTAAATGTTACTTTTAATAGAATTGTCCATATCTGAAAAGTATAATGTTTTTCATAATTTATGCATATTATTATTCACATTTACAGTGAAATCTCGTTGGAATTTGTTACTGAAATCGTTTTGTTTTTCAAAGTCAAATAGTGGAGTTTTAACCCAAAATAATTTTCTGCAAATTGTGTATATATACCGAGTTGTGTAATATAGAGCTACTTAATACTCAAAATTAAACAAACATAAAATAAATATGACCTTAAAATCGTCACGTGTTGGGCAAGTAAGGATTTAAGTTTGTAAATTCTTAAACTTTCACTCTTATACGTTTCAGACCATTTGAATTGAGAACATTTTAAGAATGTTAGAGCCATGAAATTCAGTATCAAAAAATATTGCAAAAATTGTGGAATAAAATAAAATTTCAGAATGTTTTTGAAAATTCTTTAATTCTAATTAAGTAGCTTGGGTTATAGTTGAGTAACGCACAAACTGCCAAAGTATAACAAGGATAAATGAAAATTATGTAAATGATTTTTCTATCTGTTTGAAAACTACAAATGCAAACCGGAAATTCAATACAATTTTGCAGTTTTTTAATTTAGCAACTGCATAAACTGCTTTTTTTGTACGATCTTATAAGATTTTAAGCTTTTGTAGAATCATTATTATTTCTACTGTTAAAAGCTATTATATGTAATTTTTAAACATGAAATTGAATGGATGAACTACATTATCAGAAGCATCCAATAATATTCTCATATTGATTTCAAATTTTTTAGTCATTTAATGGTCATTATTTTATTAGACACAATGGAATACTGAAAATAATAGTTTTATAGAATGATTTTGTAAATTTAAATTTTTGAAATCCGGAAGAGGATTTCCCAATAATTTTTTTTTTATAGAGTTCTTATTAGGGATTTTAAATATAGCTTATAATTAAAAATTCTAGCCTGAACTTATCAGTTAGTATAAGATTTTTAATAGCATTAAACAATAGAGTCTATTTTCATGGATTCTACTTAATTTTTAATGTAGACAAGAATAATAAAAATACAAAACCAAAAAACAAACAAAAAAATGAATTATAAATTATCACTTTTTTTAATATACTCTTACATTATGTATGTATTAATATACTTTTAATCACACATATACAAATTATACATTAAATTATAAATAAAACAAAGATATTTAAAATTCATTGCATTTCCATTCAACTTCTTTTAAATTTTTTTTAAACACCTTTTAAAGGTAAACTCTTTTTAATTTTTTTTTTCTTATTTTTGTTCATAATTATTTTTATTTTCTTAAACCACAATATTATATTTGTATAAGTACAATAATATTGTAAGGAATTCGTTGAAGTGTTAAAGAAATCATTTTTAGAATAATTTAATTTTTTTAAAATATCATCGCTATTAATAATTGTAAAAATTATATATAGGTATACATTCATATCGCTATACCGTACGTATATTTATTATGGTCAGAATTTATTAAATATAATGTAAGAGACACGAGAAACCTTAACAGAACCTAAAGATATTGTAACATTACCTTTCTTTGTTTTTTTTATTATTATTTCAATTTCATTTTAAAAGAATTTTAAATTAAAACATGGTAAAACTAGTCCAAGTACTTATATATTCTTTAAATAATATAGTTATACTTTATTATACCCTATATATACATACATGGTATATATACCCAAGTATCTTTATACAAAATATTTAAAATTATAATTATATTAAATATAACTATAGGGTTGGTAAATCTTGTATCATTATCGCTTTCAACATTTAACATATTATTATAATTATTATTATATAACTAATTTAATATACATATATACACATACAGATAAGATTATATTCACAGTATATTTAGTTTCATTATGCTTATACAGAAAATTATACTTATAGATAAATCACATATTTGTGATAAAAAAAAAATTAAGGAATTTGTTTTCATAAATGGTCAAGATTTTATGGAATTTTTATGTATTTATTTAATTATATTCTAGCCATACTTAAGTTTTTTTTTTTCTTATATAGAATCCTTAATGTTATAGAAGCATGAATAATATAGACGAGAGCAGAAACTTTTACTATATACACAACAAATACGAAAAAAAATAATTACAAAATGGTAACAAAATGGGTGGGCAATTAGTTGTCACAATTTAAAAAAAAAACCAAATTAGGGCCTAAAATGGAATATCGCTTTTCATTATTGACGGAAAACCTCAAAAAATAAGAGTAAATTAAATTTTATTTTTAAAAATAAAAATTTTTTTGACAAAATTCAAACAAATTTTTTGAAATAATGTGCGGTTATTAGTACCGTCTGTCTGTTTGATTAAAAAATTTTTACGCCAATTATGTTTCTGCCTCAATTTGAAATTTTATAAACAAATACAATAATTCTCGATAGATTGTAAATTTGTGTAATCGGGTTAACACATATGTAGATCTTAGTAAGAACATTATTTCTTTAACAAAAAAATTGCGCTCTTTAAAAATAAATTGTCTTTGACAGTATAAATACCATTGAAATTCTATAAAAATAAGAATCTAGCAAATAATTATCCTTTTATCGAGAACTATAACCTTATGCCTTACCGATAATTAGAATTGTAATACAATCTTTTTGAATATTGCATACTATTTAAGAGTTCTCCTAAATTTATGCAATATCATGTAATTAGTGAATTATTTAAATAGATCGTTTTCATCATATTGGGTTAGTTTAGTTTTATAAATATAAAATTACCTAAATAAATTACCCAATTACCCCCAATTACAAACACTCGATATTAATTTGCGTAAATTACTTTCACGGCGGCAGCTTTTCGAAATGTTGGTAGCAACTACCGGTCCAGATTGGGAAGCATTATTTTGTGGGTAAATTTCCATAAAATGAGGATTGATAGGCTGAAGTAATTCAGA